CCTGCTTGAATACTCTTGTGACCAAGGTTGCCATAATACATGACATGATATATAGAGTTCACAGCAGTTCACAGGAAATGAACTTAGTTATGCTGATTTAGCCTACCCTGTGCCCATATCCCACTGGAAAACATGTGCTTTCTAAAAAAACATATAATTTGGGAAATTCTAGAAAAATTTATAGATACACCTTCTAGCCACAATCAAGATCACAACATCTATAAGCGTGGATCCATGGATTGAAGGAGAATAAAAAAGAGAATCCTGAGCTAAAACCACATAAGAATATTTAAGATGGAAACATTAATCTACTTGATACTGGACATGGTAGGTAGTGAGGTGCTGGAAAAGTAATATATTGTATTGGTGCGATCTGCAACTAAAACAGAAATTGGTCACCTGAAAGTACAAATTAAATCTAATGAAATTGAAGCTGGAATTCTTAAGGTGCAGGTCTGCATCTGGCCGAAGGAAGAGTGGGGGCATTGTTAAACCTGTCCTAACAACTTTGATATGTCAGCACACAACTGTGAAATAAATACTGCCTTAAATACTTCTGCACAACCACTTCTCCCAGACAGAAAGCGTATCAAAAAGTTACAGATATTTTGTATATGATCAGTCATGGAAAATGCTGCCCAAATGATTTCAAAGAAAGTGCAAATTTTACCAGACACCTTTCAGACTATTCACCAAGCCTGGTAAGGGAATCCTTGCCACAGTTGTTAAAGGAATGTGATGGTAACTAAATATTCCCGAAATGCCAAGGTGGCCACCTTTAGAATGTAACCGTTTTCTACATAAGCAAGATATTCTATGGATTCCATCACATTTGTTTAGCTTGGCTAGTTAGTATCTGAAAGCTTAAGCATTTCACTCTTAGCACATTACATTCTTGGTTCTTCATTACAACAACTTAAAAATATGTATTCTGAAGATCAGTGCATTCAACATCCTTTTTTTTTGGTATGCATCTCAGTATGATAAGTCTTGGCCTATGTTTAGTATTTTATTGCAAAGCTAGACATTCTTTAATGTAAAGAACAATGACACAACCTATAATTTTACTACCATCTGTCTCTGAGTTTTCTTTTTTCTTTAAAAATATCTAGAAGTTCAAAAAATTGACATGACAAAATATTAAAATTTTGGAAAAATCAATGATAAAAATGAAAACTTACAACTAATTTTCTTTTTTAAAATTTGTATAAGATTTGACATTTATTATCTTTGAAAAGCCAAATTCCAAAAATCTCTTCCAGAATCCAGTAAAATTTTATCATTTCTATAATACAAAACATTACAGCAATATGTATATTACAAAATACACATTGTATATTATAATAAAGGTCAGAAAACACTTTTTAAATACTGTTCAGAGTGAAGCTTTCAAAGCATTCTCTGAAATAACCCAGATGAGCTAATGTACCTTCAAAAGCTTGGCACAGTAAGAAAATAAGATTATAACTTAAGTCTCTATGCAGAACAGATTGCTAATATACAGTTCATTACTGTGAGCACGTTTTACACACTTTTCTTTTCCTGGTACTAAAGTTGTAAGATTTTTTCTCTTTTTTAATTAACAGCTTTAACATTCAGAAATAATAAAGAATATAAGGTAATGTTACCTTACTGTTCCAATTAGACAGTATTTGCTAATATAATTCTTGTGATAAATATGAACCTATGTGTTTATAAAATCCCTAAGAAGATTATCTAAATCAACTCCCATGTAATTACCATTCACCATCTGTTCCACCAGGGCCTCAGCTGATCTGCTGGCATCTTGCAGTTTCCTGTACTTCTCAGGCTTTTCTCGCTGGATGGCCTGCAGCATGACAGGAAAGGTGAGTATTTATCAATAGAGTGATTTTGAAGAAGAAAGTAATTAATCTCAGGGATGTCTTCAGATTTCTTGAGATCATTTAACCTGTCACTTTGCCCTGCTAGCCTCCTGATTTGACAATGAAAGCACCAAGTATCACACAACATTGGACACAACATTAGGAAAGAAGTCAGTCATAAAAGTCAAATACATAAATCGAAAATAAGAATACAATAGATGTGACAAATAATACACGTAGGTATTTTACAAACAAATAAAGCATACAAATTAAGAGCTATTCAAAGCCCAATAATTTCAAAATACATATATATGTTCAATAGAAGTTCATTGTGGAGGAATAGATTTGCTCATTTCTTACGCAGTGCACCCTCTATTCCTATTGATATCAGTAAGTCTTGAGCATGCTAAGCAAATCACAGGGTTTCATGGTACACTGTAGTATTGAGCCCATATACCATTGGACTGGTTATTTTACTCTTTTTTGGCAAAAAAAACTGTAAAACATATATTAAAGTATAAAATATCTAACATATGTATTAACATATAAAGTAGACACCCATATATAAGGCAACAAATAAGGGTGAAAGCTCCAGAATTAACCCAGGCTTCCAGTTACGCCTTGAACCTAATGCTCTCATTTACCTTTCCATAATGAAAATCTCCCACCTGCATTCAGGCATGCTGTCAACCCAGGCTAGCTGGTAAAGAAAGCTACAGGACATGGTAGGAGTTTAAGTTTCTAATTTATTTTGTGTTAGTAACAACACAGATGGAAAGAAAAACCATTTTAGACCTAACAGCCCTTTTATGTTGTCTTGTAATTCACACTCTCAAGTCACACCACTGATTTTAGCCTAATTTAGTTGTTTAATTTGGGTGTAGTTTAGAAGCTCTACAATTCCTTGTTCAGTTCAGGAGAAGCAGCATAGGGCCATACCCAATTTGATACCAAAAATAAAACAGACTATATCCCTCCCAGAGATCCTGACCAACAGGTACTCCCACAACTCAGAGTACCTCAGTTTATCGCAGCACTTACACACGTGCAAAAAGATACGCCACCACAAACCCTACATAACATGTATGGGAGGATAACGCACATCCTGGCTAGGGCTTCTTAGTCTGGCTGACCAGCCCAGGCTTGCTGATTGCCTTATTTATTTCCATAGCAAAGGCATACTCTGTGTGACCTGAGTCTTAAGGTGAAAAGGTTCCTTTTAACTGGAAAAGAAGCCAAACAATAGATAAACTCAAGCAGGTGTCTAAGAATGCATTTAGTAGAACAATCTTATACACTAAAATTTGAAAATGTTACTTTTTAGATAGATTGGTGTACTTGGGAGGAAGAAAATATAAACACCTATAAAAATTCACTTAAATTAACATTTTAAAGTGCGATGCTTAAAATGTCTTCAGTGTAATAAATTTCTATACTTTGCATTTAGGATGATATATCATTTATACAATAAAAAAGTTTGTGAAATATCAGTAATGCCAAAATGTTTGAAACTGTAAACCTTTACTTATTCTAAATTGGACTCATTTCTGTTCAGTGAACAGGCAAAATTATAATCTCCAATGGAAATAATTCCAGTGTTTTAATAGGGGAAAAAAATGGAGAACTTTCCTTACTTTGCCTAAGAATGAAAATTTTGAAACATCCATAGGACAATAAAACTGGGGAAGAAGAAAGAAATTTGTTCAAAAAGCTCACGTGAAATAAAAATATGACCGATGCTCCTAGTTTTCACGGGTGGCAAGGAGAAGCCTGCAAGTTTAAAGAGGCATTTCCAGTTAACTTTGCACATGTCCACAGCCTACTTATAGCTGCCGTCCTTTTGTGCACATACAAAAAGGGGTTAAATGCCAGTCCTTCTAACAATAAGTCAAAGGTTCCCCAAACACGTGATGATATAAATTTGAATAAATAACACACACCAATAAAGGGTATATAGAGAAGAATTAAGGATTGGATATTTTGCATTTTATAAGCATATAATTTATTATATTCTGAAATTCTCATGGAAACTTTGGAAAGTTTAATCCTAATAAGTTAAAGATGACTGCATTATTCATCTGCAGCTGTCGTAGGTCAAAATCTTCCAACATTCCACTGCACAATTAAAGTTTTTCCAAATTCCAAAAAAAATCTCTTCTATTGGTTCTCTGTAGAGTTTCAAAATTAGTTATGGAATCTTAATTAATCCTGCTCTGTCTATACTGCCAGGTGTAATTAGTATGAATCTAACTATAGAAAACTCAAAGGAATCATAAAAATACTAAAATATACTGAAAATAATCTTACACCGTCTGTAACACCAGATGTGTAATTATCATGAGTGTGACAGTAGTGAACACAAAGGAATCATAAAAAACCCTGAAATATACAAAAATAAGTTTTTGAAATAAAAAAATCATATGACCCCTGTGGCAGTGAAGCCTTCCATGTCCAGTAATATACCATGCCTCCACAAAAAAGTGGAGAAATTTCTGTACCTTTGGTAAAAGTTTAATATTTCTAAGTCCTGATGGAAGTAAGAGCACTATATGTGAAGCACTTAAATATAAAAACTTTGGCACATCTAGGAAATATACCAAGCTTTCTGTCCATTATTTTTCTCAATTCATTTTTGTGCAATTAGAATATATTGTAAAAATGAAGGATTAATATTCAGGCAATGACTACAGAAAGACATATGATTACATATACAAAACATACTGCTAGCCAAAGGAGAGAAGACTGTCCTCTTGGTCCTCATACAGAGAGAAATTTGGGAACAAATTGCCTGATTTGAGGAGAAAGGAGAAAATTCACCCCGCTTACTTCCATTTTTTCACTGCACTCACTTCAATTGCTTCCTGAACCCCCAAATTTTATCTTAGATTTCTAAGCTCCTCAGAGCAAGGACTTCCATAAGCAAATGTAAAGTGCCTAGAAATGAATGGCGCACAAGTCCTGTAAGCACCTCGCATTTATCTCCTCGGCTCTGCTTCGTTCACTTCCTTTACTGAAAGGGATAATACTCTAGATTCAAGTTCATTCATGATACGAACAGGCTGGGATAAGTTTGAAGAGGAGGTCTGTGACATCTGGAAACTTTTAGATTATGTACATTGCAATCACAACACTTTTTCTGATGAAAAGTTGTTGAAACTGCAAAATATTTTCAAAACCATAATTTTCCTCTTTTATACTTCTTTTTGGTAAAAGATTTTTTTAAAGAAAAAATACAACAAAATAAGAAAAAAGTTATATTTACAGAGTTTCTTTCAATTGGGGATTACTTCTCTTTGAGGACTATTTTGTAACTAGCAATATAAATATATAATGACCTAGTTTTAACTGTATAATATCATATTTAATTCAATGATACTAAAAATTATTCTCTTGCCAAATGTCAACTGAACATTAAGGGGCTAATTTCACCACATTCTGAGAGTTTTATTTGACCCTCAGATTTTATTTGGCATTAAATGACTTAATGACTTAGACACACTGATGTTCCAAGGCATTCGGCTACTATTCATATTAAATCAAAATCTTACTTTGTGAGCTCTGTGAAATGATGTAGAGCAGCAGTATTCCCTAATCTCTTGCGAGTCTGATCAATTAGCCCTGTGGGCAGGAGGTGGCAACATTATTATCACTGGCTCTACCAGTGATTTAGCTTTCAAATATTCTGGCCCAACAAAGCATGTCTGGAAAAGGTCACTAAAAGAAAATGAACAAATGAGAACTGGACATTTGAGAATGCCAAGAGAACACATTGAATTGTCTAGGATATTTAACATTTTTCCTTACATCAGGTTCTTATATGTTTCCCTTTGATTTTGAATTTCCAGATGCTTCTTGGCTTCCCATAACTCCTAAGGTGTTTTAGTTTACCAATGTGTAGTCCCAAGTCTGACTTCTTATTAAACAGGGTTTTCTGCCTAGTCAGTTGTAATTTTCTCCATCTGAGCCTTCATATATTTGGACTTGCAATAACGAAGGCCCCTGACATTACCACTTAAAGGAAACAAAAACAGCCCAAGTCATTGGTGGGCCTGTTTTAAGTAAAATATACATACAAAGAGAAAAAGGTTAACAGTGTAATGCAGTGTAAAGATGTTTACGGCATTATTGTTTGGATGCCTTCATTATTTAGGAGTAATACAGTGGTCCCACAACGGAACTTCTATACCTACGGTGTCCAATCTCTCTGGCCAGGCAAGATCTTCCTCTTCTGGCTGGGGAGGGCTATAAATATGGTTGCCTCTCCTCAGACAAAGAAATGGATTTTTCTGTGCATGTCCAGTATATCCAATCTGTACAGTGTATTTGCCAAAAGCTATTTCCCTGCCAGTATCTGAAGAGCAGCTGGTTTAGCAGACACAGTCAGTGCATACAGCCTGCTCTTGGCTCTATCTATCTCCCCCAGGCCTCCTCTGAGCTGGGATGGGAGCAGGCTTTTGAACTTGATGAATCATCAATGATGGCAAAAGAGCTTTCTTTGCGGCTGCCTTTTTGGAAGTCTCTGTCCCCCCATCATGTAAGAGATATATTTCCATCACATCATATGGAAGTGATCCTCACTCAAGAAAAATGATGAGAAGGAACAAGCTGCCACTAGAGGAAACATTCATCCGGCTAGTAACTCCTCCTCAAAAAAATGGCAGAAAAGTAAGTAATTAGGAACAGGGTATGGGACTGAGCAACCATCCTAGCGGGCAACAAATGGTAGGTCTGACATCAGTCAAGCACAGGTGTTCTGTGCTACACTAATATGTTTAGTGCTTTAGGAAGAAAACTAAATGATAGCCAATAACTACAAGTTAGGGATTACTAACAACTTCTGTGTGCCTGATCTTATGCATGTGTGGATACAATGCAGAACATGATTACATATGTCAGTATAATACAATCTTTTTTAATGATCATTGACATGTTTTCTTTTTTGACATGTTGATGTTGTTCTTTCTACGTTTTCTACAGCTTTACTAGCGATCATAGCCTAAAAAGCCCCCACTATCCTATTTTTCATTGATTTGCATCTCATTTTGAGGGAAATAGAAAGGAAAAGAGATAACTAGCAATGATGAAACTGTTCAAATCAATGAACTATTTGAATCAATGAACAGAACAGTATTTCCTGCTTTGGCTACTAGTTTTAGTGGGAAAGAGAGATCACATAAGGAAAAAATCAAGTCAAGACAAGTTTTAAAATCTGGCTTTTTTAAAACTTGCTTTTTACATTTTTTAAAGTATGTGGAAAGACTTCCATTAACTGAGAACTATTCAACACAGACTCTATATATTACTTGTCAAGTATAATCTTTCAGAGTTCTCTCTATATCGAATTAATATATGTCATCAGAACATTTTATCCCTTAAAAGATCTAAAACTTCTAGATGTAACTGGATCTTTTCAATTAGATGTACATTTTAAAAGTAGGGATCGCTACAAAATCAAAATCAGTTTTGGTCTTTAAAACATTTTCAGTGTTAATGAAGGATGTAAGTTTCTTTCTCCTATTTCTATTTACAGTCATTGATTTGTCTCAGACTCTTTCTAATGACCCCTCTTAACATAAAAGCAGATTCTTTTTCTGCGTTACTTTTCAGTAAGAAATTGAAAATTGGTTTCTATGCGCAATTTCTAAGGAGGTCAAAGGAATATCTAAAATATCTCCTGCTACCTCCAGTTTCCTGAATTCGAACTTCCAGTTTCCATGCAGAGATCAAATCCAGCGCCATTTCTCCTTTCCTCCTCTGCCAATATTATGTATGTTTTCAGCAACATAAATAAGATCCGAACAAATGTGGTAGCTAGTAGCCCCCCATCCTCAATGTTTTGCCTCAGCATCAACACAGGCAAGATAAGAGTTGTAGGGAACTCCAGTTGGGACAAGAAGAGCTCTGTGGTTCACCTACCTCCATCCCTCACTTGCAGGGACACACATCACCACCTCCTTGGCAGCAAAGAAAGGGAAGAAGGGGGCAGGTGAACCATGGCTCCTGAGTCCTTTAATGGTTTTAAAGAGTCTTACAAACTGACGATATGAGGCAGAGGTTAAGGATAACTTAACTTAACTTACTGGTTAAGGATATCTGACAGTGCAGATACCTTGCACTTAGGTCAAGGCAGGAGCTGATTTGCCATCCTTGAAATTGGTATGTTACTCAAAATGGAAATATATGAGAGGGAGATAAGAGTAATTTTTTTTTTTTAATTTTACCTACCATGAAGAGTGAAGTACTCAGAAAACTAACCATATCTAGGTATGAAATGATTCCCATTACCCTAGTATGTAAACATTTGAACCCACCAAATCTTCTCTGTATATATGATCAGTTTTGCATATATACATATATTTCACATAACATGAAATGTCATGAGCTATATTCAGTATATCACTCTAATAGACAGATACTGTAAGCAATGTTATGACATTATTAACAATTAAAACTATTGCAAGACAACTATAATTTAACAAGAAATTTTAAAATACTTATTTACTGTAATGAAATTCAGCATTCCTCAGTCTTATTACTGATTGTGATGAACAAGGAGCGAGTGAGAAAAAAAAGGCAAAGCTAACTTCCCTAAATTAACTTTTTTCCATCTGTTTGTGTTCTAGGAGCAAGTATCACCTCACTTTTTAGTGAAACATCTTCAATTCCCATGACATACTAAAAGTATAATAGCTAGCTATACAAAGAACTCCTGCTTCTCTTACTCAGAAAAGGTAAGCATTTTGCGACTATCTACAAAAATTAAATATAGAATAAAATTTGTAATATTAAATATAGAATAAAATTTGTAATAGTCTGGTTTTAAACTCTAAATTCAGAGTGTGTGAAACATATACATAAACACACTGAGCTACTTCTTTTACAGTGCAGAATCACTTATTTCACAAAATGTGGAAAGAACCATTTTTGGCCCGGGCATTGTATAACAGCAATGTTTTAAAAAAAATGATGTGGAGACTGGGGATTTTCAGATATGTTTTACAGCACTGTAAAAAGAATTTACACAGATTTTCTTTAACTCTAAAAGATGACACTTTTCACATCCTTCTATTTATGCAAACATATTGTCAAATTAAGCCATTAGGATAGAAGTGTGGTGCATATATGAGAAGTAATTTATAGAATTTGATTCAGCTTTACCAACCATTTTCATGAATCTAGAATACCTTAGCTAAATGTACGTATGAATAAATATGATATCTATATTCAGACACAATATGAAGAAAGTGTGGCATTAAAATCTGACACAAAAATAGTAAACACTCATAAATTTCTCTTGTATATGGTCAATCAATGCTTGTCAGTCTACATTTGAACTCTTCTAAACTTGGACTTTGAAAGCACTTTGACAAGCTAAAACAAACTGACAAACATATATATGAGTACATTTTCCTACATTGACTCTTTCTCTGAGATCTGAGAGATTGCCTTCTTTTCGATATATTGCAAACTCAGGACTCTGAAGTACAGCTTCTGAGCGGGTCATCCAGCTATGGAGCTCTGTTGTATCCGAGTCAAACCTAAGATATAGAGAAGTGCAGTAAGTTATTTCATTTCCACAAAGCATTTCTTAAAGTAACATTGACCGTACGAATATTGAACCAGTTGTTTAAATGAGTGCATAAGCAGCACTTTCTCTCAAAAAAAGATTTTAAATGCCCCATCTTTCATTAGATACCACATGAAACTATTCACTGTAAAATCTGAGAACCCATAAATATTTTTTCATTTTTGAGACACTGATTGACAGCTGAACAGATACAGCAATTTTCACAATCACAACTCTACTTTTAAAAGTTGATGTTTTTGGAAGACATACAAGTGGCTCTTACAGCTAAAGAAAGTGTAACACAAGTCCCGCTGGTTCAGCTGAGGATATCAGGCCTATCTGGCTCGCTAAATTCAGCCTTCCTACCTGTAAGGTTTCTGTGCTAGCTTCTAGTGAGGATATCACGAAGGATATTCACATAGGAAATTTGCCCATGAAACAAGAGTCTTTTCCATTGACTCCAATTTGCTGTAATTAATTAATAATGAAAAGTAGATTATATTTTTATTACAGCTAAAAGTTTAGAAATTGTAAATTTAGATCTTCAATTATGTGCATACACATTTTAATCAGCTTTCAATATACAGTCATTTTTAATACAGCCTGGATTTTCCAATCAACTCCCTTAAAATTGATCTCAATTTGCGATTCCATTTAACAACAAAGTGTGAAAGACTGAGTAGTAAATAACGGAAGCAGAAGAAAGAACAATCACGTATCTTAGCCCTTAATCTCAGCCCGATAGCCTACATTTAAATCATAAGCTCTTAGGAGCAATGTGAATAAAAACAACCCTAATAACACTATCAGCTTATTTATTAGAGGAGGAAAAGGATATGATTAAGATGGAATAGAAGGTGCATAAATCTTGATTTTATAAAGAACGATGAATTCAGAGGTAGAAAATGAAACAAAAAGGAAATTTTCACACTGCTCAGAGAATCTCTGTCCTGGTATCAGATGCTAATCCAGCAAACTGAACTGCCCTGCCGGTCAAGAGTTTCCTATCTGAGCATTACCTCTTGACCTACATGACATTCCATCAATTGTTATTCTTGAAACAGAATTTTATCATTTGTTCAGCATATAATAGTTGAATATTTAATAAATGCTCTCATGAAATTTTAAGACTAGAAGACAGCAAAACTATGAAAGCCAGTATTCCCACATAAAACTGGAATACTGTTTGTTCAACAAATTGGCAAGCACTCTCTGCATATCTAATCCCACCAATTTCAGCAGGGGAAATGATGAAAGCATGTTTTTGCAACTATGACTCAGGACTGTTCAACATAGCTTAAAATGGGAAACACTCAATTTTAAAACTAATGGACTAGTTTACATCACAAAAGCTAACAATTTCACAGTTCTTCCTAACATGTATCTGTATATAAATTCCCTGCGTTCAATATCTACTGCCAACAGTAGATGCCAACATCTCTGCCTAATGTATGAAAGATCAGCGATGTGCAGTTTCACAGAAGTAGTATGTAAGACAGAGCAGATTTCCCGAAGTCCAGAGTTAGGAATATATTAGATCAGTTAAGTTAGAGCAACTACCTAAAGGCTGTTATGTAACTTGAGGACTGCTGAGATACAAGGAAGCCCCAAACATCCAGTGTACAATTTTTGCAAAAAAACAGTAGTAGTAATGCCCTGTCTTCTGTTTTACTCAAGTATCTGGTTCAAGGCTTGTCAACAACACAGGCAAAATGAACAACAGTAGAACCTGTTTTAAGGGCCAAGACAGAATTTGATCTGGGGTCTCCAGGCATTCAACTAGATGGGACTGCCACCCTATCATGGCTTTTTCAAACTCAGTCAGCAGTGTACAAACCAGTCCCCCAAAATTAGCAGCCCAGATTAAGGAAAATGTTGTCACTCCCTATCACCAGTATGCTCTCCTTTCCTTGCTTTCCCCATGGTCAGCAACTGGATAGGTAAAGTATGCAAGCAATGTACAAAGCAATGGTCACTTCTTTCACCTTACCTATAGTTAAAGTTGAGTCTATAGCCACTGCCAGCTACTGTGGCAAAAAGGCTGCCTTATACCACTGGTACGAAGCAGCTGTGAGCTGGAGAACCCAGAACATCAGATATATGGTGACAATAAACAAAAGTTTACCAGTCCTTCAGTACTAAATTCTCTTGTCTGCAGGTAAAATTTTATTACTTCTGTTATTTGCCACATTCTATAGTTGTAGTTAATTAGGGCCAGTAAGACAAGCTTTCTAAATAACAGCCTTTCATTAGCCTGCTATAGTACAGAAAATGGCAGAGCAAAGTGTTTACCAGTGATTATTTCTCAAACAAAAGGGCTCTGTTCAAAGTCATTTACTTCTGCAGCCTCCTCCCCTGAAAGTGTTATCTAGAGGAGGAATAGGGGAATTTAGGAGAGTTTTGATAGCACACAAAATGATCAATAACACATCACATAGCCCAGAGGTTCATCAGGTGGAGGTAAGTATTAGCCACAGTAGACAGGGTCTTGACAGAGCTGGTCACACATAACGGATTGCTCTGCCAGTTGCAGTTTCTTCTGGAGATAAATATAACACCACAAACAAAGCCTCCTGCCCCAAGAAGGTTTATAAAGGGTGGAGGGGCGAAAGGGTTCAGAGAGTTGAGGATTAATTCAGGGTAGCTTTTTGCAATGCATAGGTATCTTTAACATAGTCAAAAGACATAGAGCATTTTTCTATTGCTTTGGAAAAAAATGATTTATATCTCGTAAATTTACCTTGTATAAAAACAGGAAATGATTATTAGACATTTGACTTCTGAGCACAGTTTCAGTTACAAAATATGTTAACTCTAGATTGATAGCAAAGGATCAATACAATCTTTAAATCTTGTAAGCACAACAATACTTTTGACATAAAAAAGTAATGAAATATTACCTTCTGGCCCAATAAAGTTCAGCGCGTGTAGAATTTGTTAAAATAAATCCATGGAAGACACTAAAACCAAATCACTTGAGGCAATCTCTCTAAGTAATCACCTCACTTTAAAATGCACGTAGCTTGCTGTCTACCTAAAAATTCAATCTGCAGCAGAGAATTTACTGCCTCTAAAATTCTTTATGTGGCACGCATGGTTTAGTTTTCAAATTAGCCTTTCTTTTGGCTATTCTCCTACAATGGAAATACTAGTTTTTACCGCTCTCACTGTCCTCTCTGTATAGGCCAACACATTTCAGCTAAATTCAAAAAGGTCGCTTTTTAATCCACAGCATATTTGAAAAAATATCTTCACATTTTTAAACCACACCACTGAAATCTGCATGTAGACTCTTACAAGTTGATCGCAGCACCTCTTTTCATTCATTATACTAAGCCAAAGGCCCGCTATAGACCTGCTCAATACTCTCTTGCTGAGATCGTCAAATGTACAAAAGTCTTGTTTAAAAATGTCTCCTTGCTCTAGCTTTCCATTCCTCTTCTTAATTAAACGTAGGATAAATCTCACCTTTAGGGCACTTCATAACTTCATTATGTCTCATTTTCCTGTTTCGGTGCACAGAACTCCTGGCCCAAACATCTGGAAGAAGCTGATATTCAAGTCTTACTACAAGTCCCTGTCTAATTCAATGTCTTTTGGAATCTACTAAATAATAGCAATCACTACTTTACTTATATTTCAAAACAAAAACAAACATAATTTTTATAGTAATAAAAAGAATGATTGACTCTAAACCTTCAATCCATGCAACCTATCTTATAAAGCTTTATGGTGATTCTTACAGCCAGCATCATCTAGCAGAGGACAACGGTAAATTTAAACTCATTGGTGTTATCTAAGCTTTACACGTACTAGTGAAAAGATGATGACTCTGTGAAGTCATCTGTATGCATTAATCTCTCACACAGTTATACATATAACGTAACTTGAATGTTGTGCAAGTTCACATGAGAAGACAAGTTGTGAGGTACCCTGCTGTCATGTGACCATCAAGGTTAATCTTTCCTCTAAATTGATCAAACTTCATCTTAAAATTGCTACTATCTTACTGCTACTAGAAAGTGGTTTCAGAACTACATTTCTTCAATGGATAGAACCTGCCTATCCATTTTCTTTACACTTTCTTTTTTTCCTATTTCATCCAGAACAAAATCACAAGGGATGTGTCAATACTTTGTACCTCGGGCAGACATAAGATCATTTGCCTATGTACTGAGCTGGCAGGAACGGTACAACTCTGATCGAAGAACGACATTACTGAATTCCTGCATCCTCATGGCTGGACTGCAACACCCAGTTGATCAGCAGTGCTCTTTAGCTCACAGCTCTAGTTTGACTAGAAACATGCCTAAGAACAACTTTACAATATACCCATTGGCAGGAGTATTCTGCGATGGATTAATGTTTCTCTTCCTCTATTGTATTTGCAGCTGATTATCTTTAGCTGATAAATACTCTTGTTCTTATCTCCTAATATAATAGCTTATTTGTCCTAATATTTTTCTCTTCCTAGTTCTTAGTGAATGATAGTCTGGACCTCCTCTACACTCATGATGCGATTCAATTTAGCCTCCTCAACAATATTATTAGTTAGTATATTTCTGTAACACATACTAAGGCATTAAAGAAAATATTAGATCGGTCCCAAAAGTAAATCTTGAGAAATATCTTTCTAGCCTCATAGTTCTTCCTTTGGTACAACCTGCTGCCTTCTTTAGCCAATTATCCATCTTGCCATTCTTGCAGTAAGCCATACCTTCCACAGCTTAACCAATAATTCCTAGACAGAAACACAGAATGCTTTGCAGAAATTCACATAGCTCAGGTTCATTGCATTTCTCATATCTCAGAAAATCACTTATGGCTGAGGCAAATGAAAATCTGGAAGTTGTTGTAGAATAAATTTATTAACACTACTTCCCTTCAGCCAATGCCCAGTGGCTAGAGATGCAGAGCAGTTTAATTCCAGCCATCTTGCCTTGCAGTGAGTGCCAACTTGTATTGCCCCTA